GATAAGCCATTTCTCCTCCAACGCTCTGCCCTTACGCACCACTTCACCCACCACTGAGACCCTAATGCTGAGCTGGAAAAAAAAAAAAATCTATGTCCAGGTTTCCATACATCCTTATGCTTCATCCTTGCACTCTGGAAGCTTTCTGGATCCAGGATTCACATCCACCCAGATCTCCTTCCTCCTTAGCTTACCTGTGCCCCTCCTGCCAGTCACTGAGAGTAATGAGAATGGAGAACTCATAAAACAAAACAAGCCGCGCCCTTCCCTCTCTGCCTCTCCCCTGGGTGGAGAGGGGTATCGTCACATGGGGGAGTATACTCCCTAGTTTTCTCCCAGAGCAATGGGACCAGTCACACCAAGACACCTCTTCCCTGCTTGACACACTGCAGTTGCACAAGTGAAAATTCAAACGAGGACAGATAGACCTGATTCTAGGAAGGTTGAGAGTTAAAGGCAATGAGAGCTGAAAGAAAGGGCAGGGCCTACCTCACCCTCCAACCACCCTCAACAGACCAGCCTGGGTAGAAGACCTCAGAGAAGACTGTGAGGATAGAGAAGGGAAGAGCAAGAGGCAGAGCTGGGGAGGGCGTTACCTAAGCCGCGGCTCTTGTTCCGTGGGGGGGGTGGTCTTGCCGGGGGGGTGGAAGAGAATGGTGGTGATGGCAGCTCTGAGGACACCAAGCTGGGGGATTCAGGTTTGGGTGGGTGGCAGCGTTCAGCCCCTACAGTTTGTAGCAGGTCTAACAGCACCTTCCGGTTAGTACCTTGGGTGGGAGGGGAGTCACACGTACAAGAAAGAGAATCAATGCACACATCAAGGGGTTGTTCCAAACAGCACCACTGCCTGGGCTGTCAAAGCAGTGTTTGTTTGTGTCTAATAATGACCTACTGGGAAGAGGATGGGGGGTGCAGGGGGAGAAGGCAAGGCAGGGATCACGCTTTCGGCCTCCCTCCACTACCAGCCATTAGAGTCAGGGCATTGCTGGTGTCCCTGATCCTATATGTCCCAGCCACCTTATGTCACAAGTGCCATCTTCCAAAGCCAACATTTAAAGGGCCGGGTGTGACTGCACCTTGACAAGTCTGGAGGAGCTGCCCTGCCTCACCATGTGTGGGCAGCATCTGACAACCCAGCCGGGAAAGGAGGCATGTGCACCTGGCTTTCCTCAAGATATATCCCATCCCCTACTTCCCCTCT